AACCACCAAGTAACAGTAGGTAACGCATCGAAATCGCGAACAGCAATAAAATAGACATAAATTGTGCATATTTTTACTCCTCAATACAAAAATCAAGATACACGCACTGTTCGCGATTTAGAAAATCACAACCCGTCATTCCGACTTTTATGACTGATCGCAATAATCCATTACAAACAACACATTCAGTTGTTTTATGATCTAATAGGAACTATTAAATAGTGTTATATGTTGCGTCAAAAATTAGACTTGAAACAACGCAAAAAGTGTTCGCGATTTCAATGCGTTACCTTAACGTTATTGAAATTATTTTGACTATGGTAACTGTACCGGTAAGTACTATTGTCCTTTGCACTTGTTTTGGTTTTACGTGGCTAAAAGAGTGGTACATCTGCTGTAACTGTGTTACAAAGTTGAATAAATACCTGGTGTTTTAGCTAATTCACTGGGGTTTTATAAATACCTAATAACTCTGAGCAATAATAATCACATGTGATGCTGAAGTGACCAAAACACCTTGGCTGTTATTCCATCGCGTAGTACGCGCTACCTGCATGTACTATGCGATGGAACAAGAAGATGGCGTGGTTTTCTATGTTATAGCACCATACGTATATCGCTGTACGGTAGACACAGGCGCATGTCCTCGCTGTGTGTCATTTGTATTATCAAAAGTTGTTCATGATGACCAGTGAATTGTGCAATTTGGTCCCGAGAATAGCAGATATAACTTCGATTTGCACTTTTCAAATGTGCAAAAGCGAGGGAGTTGCATAAATAACCTCCCTATAATTACATTCTGTAACGAAACGTGATCCTAATTCTCTGTACGGATTATCTAAAACACTGGGGTCGATGTAACAAACACCCAGGTTTATGGTGTCAATAGTCAAAACGAGTGAAAAGCACAATACTAACGTTATTATTAATAATAGTAGTAACTAACCTCCAAGTGACTTGTTTGTGGAATTGGTAAGGTGGCTGGGCTGGCCTTACTTCTGATTATTAACCAATCACAGTGCATCATGGTGTATTTGCCATAGTATTGGTCAGCCCTGACGAACGTCCATATTCGTTTTCTTCCGCTGAGAGAAGTCGACGGACATGACCTCAACAGGTATGACAATCGACTTTTCTCGAAGAACAAGGCAAAGCGTGCTGGTTCGACCACCAAGTATCGCGAAAAAAGGAAGCATCGTTTAAGCGCATTGCTCCCAACATGGAGAACCGAATATGAATCCGAAGTAGATAGTCCAGATGAAAGTTCGATTTTTAATTCGATTTTTCGCAGTTAACAATTTTTGACATTATGTTTCGTAAACGTCGGCACGGCATACAAAACCACAAAGTCCTAAAAATGTCACTCGTCACATTGGTTGGTATCACTCGGTCATGTTATGCACTTATTATGCCGCTTCATATATGTCAAGAAGGGGCAAAGTAGGCCCAAGCACTTAGAGGAAGGTGGGACAACGAGTCCGATGGTAACAACCGAGTAAGCGAGGTGTCCAGGAGGGCAAGACGCACGACAGGAAGAAACTGTTTGAGGCCATATATACTCTTTTTTAGGAGACATACAAAGTCACGGCGAGACTTGGGCTCAACCAATGAGCCTGGAGGTTGTTCCATATAGACATCACAGTCCATGGTGCCATTGAGGAATGCCGTCTTGACATCCATTTGATGACATTCTAGATTGTAGATTGCGACAAGGGCGAATAGAAATCGTAGCACCTCGAGACGCACAACTGGTGCATATATCTCAGTGTAATCAACACCATGTTGTTGCATAAATCCCTTGACTACAACTCGGGCTTTGTAAATGCCACTAGGCTTGATGCGAAATACCCAACGACAGGCGAGGATCGTCAACTTGCTGTCACGACGGACTAGTTCGTACGTCTCATTGGACAACAGAGAATTATACTCGTCCGTTGCAGCAGCAAGCCACTTATTGTGGTCATCACGACTCATGGCTTCGCGCCAATTCTCAGGATTTGGGCGTGACTTGGATACTGCACGTTCGGCCAAGAGTGAATATATCATCGATGAGTCCAGATAATTTGCACATCTTGGGAATCTTGATGTTTTCGATGATCGATGTTGAAAGCGAAGTGGAGGGTAGGACATCGGAGCTTGCTCCGTCGCCCACGATGGTGTCGTCCATAGCACATAGTTTCGAGTCCAATGACCGTAACGTGATTGTCGGTTGTAGATAAAGTGGCGGTGGTGGCGAGGATGGCCTCTGGGCAAAATGCCGGCGAAGTGTAAAATGTGTGGGATCGAACGGTGGACTTGACAACGGGAAATCCCGTTCTACTTCTCGATATAGCTGGCCCACTGAGATATATTGTGTTGCTGCGAGAACACCGCGTGAAACAGCAACTAGTGAGGTGTGCTGATGTGACGAATGTGCCACAGGTTGATTCATGACAAGGATATTGGGGCGAGAAACGCCATCCAGGATGGAATGTAAGGGGGGTAAAGGGGCATTGGGCTCAAGGGTAGGGATAAAATTGGGGTCACTAGCCAGCCGTTTGCGATAATCAGCTGCCACATCAACGGTGTTAATTGCAGGGAATTCAGACTCCCAAAATGTGACGTCCCGCGAATAAATTCGAGCATGGGAATGCAGATTCATGAGGGCATATCCTTTCCGATTATCGGGAAGACCAATGAACATGGATTTGATAGCACGAGGGTCAAGTTTCTTCGGCTGAGCTGCTTTTTGGATATGAACGTATGCAGTACAGCCAAACGTTTTGATGTAACTCAATGTTGGGTGAGTATTAAATACTACGAAGTATGGAGACTTCCCCGAATTGGATGACGAAGGAGTAATGTTTATTAGCCAAGAGGCATACTCGAGGGCAGTGGTCCACAGGAACTTGGGGAGGGACCCTTCGATGAGCATAGCACGCATCTTTTGAACCACAAGGCCGATACGGCGCTCTGCTACAGCGTTTTGATTTGGGGAGTACGCGTTAGAAAACGTGACTCGAGTTTGATATTTGGGCGTAATCAGACGAGCCAGCTTTTCATATTCCTTCGCATTATCACTTTGCAGTGTGCCAATATCGGTGGGCTGTGTGTGACGGAGATCGGCAATGTCAGATTTGAAAATCGACATCGCTGCTACTCGAAATGTCTCATATGCGGCATACAGATGGCTACGTTTCTGAAGTGGGTACACCCACATGAATCGAGAGAAGTCGTCAACAAAGAGGACAAAGTAGGCAGCGCCGCTTGCCGACAAGATAGGGCTTGGCCCCCAAACGTCTGAATGGACCAATGCGAGAAAACTCGTTGCCCGAAACATAGCGCTGGAGTTGAAGCGTGACCGTTTGGACTTCGCGTAGGCACAAGTTTCACATAGAAAATCCTTTAAATGACGCGTTTGGAAGACCTGCAGTTCAGGATTCTCTTTGATCATATGATCGAGTGCACCAATTCCAGGGTGTCCAAGACGACGATGCCACAGGCGGGCGAGCTCGATATTAGAGAGTCGCGAGTCACTCACGAGACTGTTCAGACAGTCTAACGAGACAGAAAATGCTTGGGGGTCCAATGTAAGACGAGGGGGGTGGGCAAACATGCCGTTAAGGGCACACCAGTATGTAAGAGCGATAGACTGGTCCGACCACTGTGCCATAGTGAGTAGGCTTTATATTGGACCCATGCGGAACAACCGCAGGAGTTGCGAGATGACTAGCGTAGCGATAAACACCAGAATAAGCATACATGTGCAATTCATCCATTACTTTGCGAGACACACGAGACGTTTTGAACTCAGCAAGTCGCTTCTCCAAAGCGCGAAATTGCGTGAGCAGGACCCTGTTTTCGTGGGGTTCAATCGAAGGGGGAGTTTGGCCCACAGCAGGACGGCCATTTGGGATGGCATGAAATGAGTACAGACCCATGGCATTATTGGAGGCTCGGATGACATCACCGAGGACGTGGTAATCGTGCACAGACCACGCGAGGGGAAAGCTATAGCATAGCCGTCGTCCGTAGAATGACCCACAGAGAGTAAGTTGAACTTCAATTGAGGGCAATGGATGCCAAACGTGAGGTGCAAAGCACGGGAACGCATCGGAATCGTTGTGTCGGCGGCAGACATGAGGGTTTCCATAGAGATGGACCCATAGCCAACAACGGGGAGTTTGTACCCGTTTCCAACGGTGAGCGACAAGGCACACGGTACATACGTGGCGAAGTACTCCTGATGGGGAGTGCATGAGCTAGTAGCTCCAGAGTCCATGATCCAATGCTGGGCAAGAGTAGCAAACTTGCCAGGTGGCTATACGACGGAGGGGGGGAGGTCAGGATCACCGTTGTTTGGCGCACATTGTGTCAGGACGACCTTAAGTACAAATTGCTTGTTCGAATCCACAACCACATGAAACGGTGGATGCGCCACAGTGGAATCCACACCACGTGGTGGCAAAGCAAATTTAATGCGCACAGGGGTAGCTGGTGGGGCGTCACTCAGCGAGGGAGGAATATCACGTGATACCGTAGGGAAACTCCGTACATGTTCAAGGGCAGGTTGGCTGGGCAAATCCCAGTGGTTTTGAGGGGGGTTCAAGCGAGTACGGATATGAGGAGCAATGTCGTCATTTGTGACGGGGGCTATCAAAGCCATGGGTAGTCCACCATTATGGGTAGTCCACCATTCGGCCTAGCGGTAGCACGTGCAGACGGATCATTATCACAAGGTGAGTTGGTGAGTGGTGGAGAACGCCGCAGGCGCTTCGAGGGTCGATCATCGACACTGAGGTCTCGTGAGCCACAGGAAAGGCGGGGTGGTGTGGGACACTTGACTTTGACATTCGGTGCGGCTAGTGCTCGAGTACGGACCGGAGATCGACTGCTACTTGAAGGGTTGTCACAATGACGCTCGGAGGGCGCTGAATCAGCACCAATGATGCGACCACGTTTGTCGAGGCCCATGCGTTCACGACGACGGCTGCGACCACGGTTGTCGGACCTGGGGGTAATTACATCCTTACGGGCTGTGCTACTGTCATCGAAGGTTGAAGTAATTTGATGGCTGCGGCCACCGTTGCCGCTGTCACGCCAATTACTAGTGCGATCTTCGCCACCACGACCACGACTTCGACTTCGAGTAGCGGCTCGTTTGGACGGAGGATTACGTCCACGTGGGGCACCAGCATGTCCGCCACCGCGCCCATAGCCATCATCCCGGTCCTGGTCGTCACGACGTGAATGGTCATCGCGACGGGGGTACGAATATTCCGCGAGGACAAACGCCGCGCGTTTTTCTTGCCGTCCTTGTCAAAAACGTCTTGGGGGAATCCATCGGGCTTGGTGCCGTGGGCATAATCCGAAGCCAGGGGCTTGCAATTGGTTAGCACATGAACAGAATCGCCACAATAGAAGCATGCAGGTCCAGGGTGATTATAACACTTGTGGTGGGCATACGAGAGTAATGAGCGTGACGTGACTAGCCCAACCGAACTAGAGGCAGCTTCGACGACAGTAGCGTTGATAAGGTGCGAGCGAGTGTGCGCCGAGTCGGCAGTTCCATGTTATCCAAGTGCAAGCGAACGGAGGTGTCGCGTCGCGAGTGCGTCCTTGATGACCGTGTCGATGGATGCAACGGAGCAGGGCTGACCCGATGCCTTGGCGTAGCTCGATATATCACAAATGAGGTCCCAGATTTGCTTGTCGTCTAAAAAATATTTCCGACAGTTTTACCATGTAATGGTTAGCCCATAGAAATGCATCGTAATCGGACGCCGCGATCTCCAGCGAGGAAGGGATCATGGCAGCACGATACTGACTCGCGATGGACTTGACGTCGGCCAAGAGAGTGTCCAGGCAGTCACCATCGTGGTACTTGATCTTCTGAGATTGGGCATTAAGTACCGCAGGGTCACTGGTGAGTGGGTTATTCTCGAACCGAGATACAATTGACTCAAAAAAAGTAAAAGGACAGGAAATGTTGGAGAACAGTTTCCGCAGGGAATCTACGATCGACGAGTTTAGGAACGTTAGCGCCAGAGCACGTAGACGAGACAGCGCCTTGGTAGTTTCCGTTTTCAGAGTAGCACTCTTCACCGATTGGATGTGAGTAGCGATCGCCTTATGTCGCGCGGTTAGGTCATCACCAGTAAAGTCCGCGTCAACTGAGTAGAGTTCGAGGTGCTTAAGCTTGTCGACTTGGACATCGACATCGAGGATACTCAATATAGACCGCTCAAGGTCCGCAGGCACGTAAGCCTTATTGAGGTAGAATTGAGTAAACTCATGGCCATCGGCTTGGCTAACAAACAGCGGCTTCCATTCAAGAAACGTTCTGTTCTGGTCGTCCAGAGGAGGACCATTGTAGAGCGGCGCAGAGGTGGAGTGAGGGCTCATAACCTGTCAAGAAGGGGCAAAGTAGGCCCAAGCACTTAGAGGAAGGTGGGACAACGAGTCCGATGGTAACAACCGAGTTGAGCGAGGTGTCCAGGAGGGCAAAACGCACGACAGGAAGAAACGAAGAGTGAATTAGGATAAGTGGTGTGGAGTATTTCCCCTACCCTACTGGCAAGCACCTGGCAAGCTACGAGGAGATGGCCGCTGATTGGTCAGAAACCGAAGCGCACATATTAGGACATACCCCTTTAAGTGCGGGTGACAACATCCTGCAAAGTGCGCTCACTTGACAATATACAGTAATTTATCAATGTGGTTTTATAAAATATCGGGTAATTCTATATTATGAGAAACTTCTCGTCCAGCCTATGTACTGTATGGGCCAGCACAAGGTGCGAAAGGTGATAGGATGAGTTCGTTTTGTTTTTGACATTGGCCAAGCCCCTATAAATATTGATATTGATATTACGCTGTAAAGTTAGAATCACTCAGCTGGCCAAGCCCCTATAGAGGTGAACAATACAGAGGGTGCGTGTATCATTTTGAGCACCAATCGTGCATATCACCAAACGTCCTATCGATTATGCCTCTTGTCGGGCGGGCATGTAGGTCTGTCTGTACCTACAGTTGGCTGTGCTACTGGTTACTTGGTGTTTGTGTTCTTCACTAATTTATGGGTTCGTGTTAAGTACGCCTGGGGTACTTCAAGTTCGCGGACCTCCAGAGATGCACCCATAAAAACCAAATGGCCGTATGATACACGCACCCTCTGTGATTATTCATTCACCTCTATCTAGGTCGCGGCCGCCTTGGTCTCGTACATGCAGAGTGGGCACCACCAGGACATGCTGGACACAGGCTGCTTCATCAAGGCCGAGTTTGAACAGTGCGAACCCCCTGTGTTGCGCAGCCGGTACTTGCTTGCGTCGCCTCGGGACCTCGACCGGTACGTGGCCGAGCACGCAGAGGCCATGCGCAGCGACTTCCAGGTCCACTTTCCCAACGGCATCATCGTGTGCGAGCGATCGACATGGCGTGTGCTGGTCACTAGCCCTACTACAGTAGTAATGTAGAAGTATAAAGTAGCCAGGACGACATATCTCGACCAGTTCTAACTGTCGCATTGTTCTCACCAACGGTGCCATTTGGGATTGATTCCCAGTTGTTCAGTTGGTCACTTTGGTATTTGTCGTCTACCAGCACAATCCACCCCACTTGCTGTGCCGACCTTCTAACTCATGTCGCCACGCCGCCACTCCTCGTCGGCATCGGTCACCACGTTGCATGTGCCTGTGGCCCCAACGGGTCCACCGCTGGCGGCGCTGCTGGTGCACGTGCCCGGACGGGTAATTGTGCGAGGGTTCGTTCCGTCGCAAGGCTCTTCCGAAGATGTAGAAAACGCGGCAGCTAACGCCGTGACCATGGTCATGTCTGGTTCCTTCAAGCTGAAGGATCAAGTGGTGGCCACCACCGAGGCGTGGCGCAATGGTGGGCTAGCAGTGCGCATGTATTTGGCTCGTTCGGCATCGCCCAGTCGGTCGAAACATGATGCCAATGCTGCTTATCATCGAGGCCACCGCAACCACCATGTCCATCCTCCCTGGAAGGAGTCATCGGCAAGAAATAGCCGCGGCGACGACGACGACGATGATGATGATGATGTGGGCTCGCTACTGGTGGAGATTTCGGTGCCCCGTCCGTTGAGGTTCGTTGGTGCCCCATCGGAAGACTTACGAATAGCTTATGATTTTCTGTCTTGTGTAGCTACGTGGAATCGATTGCCGAGACTGTGATTGATCAAACAGCGCTCTCGACCAACGAAGCGAGTCATATGGGGCTCGTCGCACTCAACAACTCGCTATATGTGACACTGACACGACCAAATTGGACGATGGCGTCGCTGTCCATGTCGAGCTTTGGCCACGGAGTCATTCAAGTGGACGCCCCTCGGATTCAAGCGTATGCGATGATGGAGCTCAAAGCGTCGGGGCCAGAGGCGATCGTGGCTGTGGCGTCCACCCACGTCCAAGCCGACGTGATGGAGTAGTACAAACCAATCCCAAACAGGAACCTGAAGTGTATCTATCTCGTAGGGCGACCGCCAATGGCGCAGGGTCGGTGTACTTGACCAGCCGGAATGTATCGGTGCGATCGCTCAAGAGTACGATGGCTGGCGAAGGCGTAATCAGCTACTTTGACAATGGTACTGCTAACGTTACTACATTCCTAAAATGTTGGACTTTTACCCAAATTCTCCAAATATATTTATTGTAACGTTACTGTATGTTGTATGTAAACACTGGTCTTATTAGAATCACACTACTTTAGGTCTCACACGAATTAGATGTATATGAGTGCTTCCTGCCATGTGTATGCCCAAATTTGGTTGTACCGTACTATTCTCCATGTATCTCCAGTGTAGCAACTAAACACCAGATTCGATATATATATAAATATATTCGACGTCGTGACTGGATGGCTTATAGGAACGTGTGCCATCCACGATGTGTCGATGCTCAGCAGTGGCCAAGTCCATGCCGGATCTATGCATTGCTACGATACAACCGTGTACTCTGTCGGGTCGGGGCATGTTGTGGTGGACGGGGGGCATTCCCTTACATCCACAACCATTGGCGTTGGCCGGCTATCGTATGTCCAGACGCTGCCAGACAATGTGGCCCACGTTGGCTTTGCCCCCCGCGGTGGCATCCACCGATATCACCCCGGCGATGACGCGGGGCCGTTGAAGTGGGACTTGGTGCCCGCGCCGCCACGCCACGAACCAAAGCGGGTGATTGTGCTCGGAACGTTGCCCTCGACCGTACGTAAAATTGAAGGGGGGGTTGAAACCTCATAAAAGGGGGCGTAGGCGGTCGACTTGGAAGTGTTGCCCCCCGCCTTGTCATTGGCCATGGATGCCGAAGTACTTATGGGGTTAGCGTTGATTGTGGTGGCCCCGATGGTAGTTAGTTTTATGTCGTTGTCGGGATGTCGACTGGGGTTGTTTTCGTCTCATGGACGGATTGGTGGATGTGTAGGTGTTGTGGACATATATGCGACGCCGGTACTACCAACGTATCGCGTAAATATTGCGCCCTTGAATTAATTATGAACTTGCACATCTTCGAGTTGTTGTAATAATCCCGAACGACACACTATTACTGCACAGATATTGTCAAATCGATTCGAAACTTGTTTGCCATTTGAAACCCTGACAATCCTCGTTGGCAAAACTTGATTACTGCGTACTGCGTAGTAGTACTATTTACTACTAACGTACAGTGATCTGAAGAAGGTCACTGGTTCGATCCCGGGTATCCTTTTCATTTTTGAGTCTCTAAATCAGTGTACATTTTCCTCTTACCAATTAATGGCGTATGTGCTAATTCATGAAGTAAAACTAAGCCAATCACTGATCCCAAAATGGAAAAACACCAATCACAGAACAAACCTCTGAATATCTATACTCGTAGCCATACAACGCCGAAGGTTAAAATAATACGTCAACAATTGGGAGACTTCCAAAACCGGTGCAAACTTGTTTTGAACCCACTGTGGTACAAAAATTGTTCGTACTGTGAGTGACTATTATTGAGCCGATGCTGAAAAGCTTCGATTAAAACTGACTCAAATTGGTCAGCCATTGAAAAATGCATAGCTGTGATTGGATATAATAGGCCAATCAAAACCTTGTACAGCTTGACAATGTCCCCCAACAAGAGCATGGCAAAACCATCACGAGGCAAAGGATGAACAGACCCGAGGTCCACGTGATTTTCTTGCCGTCGACGCACACCGGTCCCCGGCAACGCAAGGAATCCGGTATGCATGGTGCTGCATTAATTGACTTTGTTATGAAAATGCTGCATCACTGATGCAGCATTCCGAATTAGCGGCTTGAGATGCATGAACGGCGCACCACTTTATAGAAAGTTTATACTATTACAGTGTGTTCAGAAATTAAAGACGCACCTAAATTTTCTCGAGTTTGTCATGATGCCATCCCATTCCCCTCTCTCGGCATGGTGCCCTACTATCACAGGCGTATATAAGAGTATCCCCTAAGCGGGTTTTCACCAACAGATCTGTTTAGATCGTGCAATCTCCAAATTTATCATTTCGAGCTGTCCAGAAATTATAGACGCAGTTCTGACAAATCACAAAATTCATCCCAATTTTAGCCAATCAAGTGTCAAAAGAGCAATCCACATTATTACAGCACTGGCGGACTGACACGTACACACCATTATCGACATCATTTGTCACATTCAGCGTATTACTACGTAGTATTATGCATTCGATTCGAAATTGGAGTGGGTAGTCCAATCGACCCAAACGCAGACAATCGACTAGCCAATGAAATATCTTCAATCCTAAATCCCAACCAGTGGTAGTCCGGCCCAAGGCTTGTCCTAGTTGAATTATTTATATTCAATTTTGCATATGGTATACTAGTACATTGTATGGTATACAATTGTGCTTTGAGTTCGATTTCTCAAATACACAGTCCAAATTTGGGTGAAAAGGACAATAGTAGTACAAGATTTATACTCTCAAATGGACTAGAACGAATCGACTGCCAATAACGTTAACGTTACGAATGAAGTGTCTACCAATAGAGCCCCAACGACCCACTACAGGTACTGTATCCTGCAGAGAACAGTACGAACAAATAGTAAAGTAGTACAGAGCTGTACTTCCAGGGATACCACTACAACTACCGATAACCAACACTTGATTACCTGTGAGTCCAGAACCACTGACTTCATAGCGAAAGCTGTCCTACTATCAACTTATATTCAAATATATTCAAATGCATAATATCAATACAATCCTAAGTATTTGGAAATGGCATATGTGTGTGGAGTACGCGCTTTGGTTACAATTCGGGCAGACTCTGCGACAGTTGGATGAGGCGCGACGCAGTTGTCTGCGCCAAGCTGTCGATGCGCCGTAGACTGTGACGGTGTACACTAGGTAGCACTGGCCATTCGGACTCGGATGCCGACCCCCTTTCTCCCCCCCCCACGTGGTCTTGCCATGTCACGATCATGCCCTGGACTTCCCCCTTTAAGCCGGGGGACGCCGCCACCTCGTCGGACATTTCGACGGCGTGCAACGTTTCGTCGATCAACGACCGACTTGCCTACGATATATGTTTCCTTGTCAATACCGCCGCCCCGGAATTGCTTCAATAGACAGACGACGACCTCTGGAAGTTCCAAAATACCATACACTTGCACATGCATATGCACGAGGCGCGTAACGACCAGCTACAGACACAATCGATGAAACAGATTTATAGACAAGGGAATGGGGGGGTGTACATGCAGGGAGGGGAGGACGACGAGAGCTGCCAGCGACGATGTGAAAAATGAAAGGAGGTGGTCGATGGAGGGCGGATTGATCTTGGTCACTTTATGCACTGCTTCGAGGGCCGCAAGCTAGAACAACAGGATACTTTGATTTGGTGTCGGACCATTGTCTTATGTATTGTATGTATTACACAAAGGCGAGGGGTGGAGCTGATGGATTGCTGTGCCAGTTGCAAGAGGAGTTGCACCATATCGGGAAACTACAGTAGCATAGCAACGGTGTGGCAAATCATCGCAACGAAAAAGGACGTACAATGTTGTGGGATGAGTCACTGGTCGGGTGTTCAGGTTCGGCTGCGTCGTCGTCGTTCTAGGGGTAGGTATTCGAATCTAATGGACTGACTTGGTAGATCGAACACCCACCATGAGTTGTGTGAGCGTGTGGTGGAGCTGCCAGCAGTACTGCTTGGCCGCGTCCAGAGCAATGCGTTTCAACGCGGACACAAGCACCAAGACAGGTCTCTACGACGAATAACTCAACACGAATATAAAATGATGTCGAAAGGTACCACATTCTGGCTACATCGCAGGGCAGTTCGAGCTCTGCCATCAACAAAACAAATAATACGCAAAATCGATCGAATGTACGCACCGCCTTGAAAACGTGAGCTTCCAAAAGATGTGCCCCCCATTAAGCTACAAAGTCAACAGGTTTAACAACAAGATCTCGTTGAACTGTCAGTTGAATATATGGGGGTATCTTTCCGTCACCAGGATTTGAGATTGGGTCGGGTGGTGCTCCATGGCATCACACACTAGGTCAATTCCCCCCCAGTCCAGAAACAAAGGTACACTATACACATGACATGTGTCAAACTTGCCTTTGATATACACATGCATATATGGTGTGTACTTTCTGGATTCTTTGAGCAAGTGAAAGAGGGCGGTGGTGGCGTCTAATTGGATCTCCACAGTGTGGGGCGACTGGTTCAACGCTGCCAGCAAAGGGGGGATCAGACTATCGTGGCTCGATAATGTACTGGTGTGATGGGAACCAAAGGGGGCAGCGACATCTTCTGGGGGGATTTGGTTGGTGTGGTGCAATTGGTTGGCCAGGAGGGATTCTAGCTGGGACTCGTACGACTTGCATTGGCTTTTCAACTATAGCCATATATATTCATATATCGTGACTATGGCGCCCCATGAAGGTGAAGATGGCAAACCTCTGCGATCCGGTCGTGTGCGGCGCTGAGCTCCGAGTTGAGCTTTGCGTTGGCTTTGAGCAGCGTCAGCTTGGCGTCGCTGTCCTTGTTCTCGGCTGCAGCTTTGTCGTTGGCAAGGCTTTCAATGTACGTTTCGTATCTGCAAGAATTAACCTGTGAATATGGTCGACACCGATATTAGTACCGCCTCACGTCACTCTTGAGGTCCTCGATCACGAGTTCGTGGTCTGCCAGTTGCTTGGTGAAGGTCAAATTCGCCGTCGCTGCCTCACGCTTCGCCGTCCCCAATTGATCGGTTAACTCTTGGAGTTGAACATCCAGCATCCTAGGCGTTATTAAACTAGTATGTCAATAATGAGCATCTGTGACGTGGTATATTGTACGCTCGCTGCAGGAATTGGATTTGGGTGTCGTTCAAGTGGGTCATCGTAGCAGACAGTTGGGCCAAATCTTGCCATCTGGGTCAGTTATTTGAATACTAGTAGCGGTTAGCAACACGTACTGTGGCGCTTCGCTTTGGAGGGCATGCCGTCCAACGAAGCGAGGGAAACCTGCTTATCAGGCTGTAGTTTCTTCTTCTTCTTGGATGGCGCCATCTGCGGGGAAAATCGATGGACGCAGCCGTTACGAAAACGGTTACAGATGCCAATTGACGGATGTGAAATAAATTCCCCCAATGTCATTACAGATAAGACCATTATTGCTCGTGCATGGTACTACCTGGGTAGTATTAGTACTTGACAGCACATATTCGTCCTGACTTGAAAACATGTTCAGTCTACAAGCAATCGGGCTCGACACTTTTTGTATCGTTAAATCAAGGAGTTGCCTACTCGGCCATCTGGTACGAGTCGTAGAAACAGGCATTGATGAAAGTGTTCATAGTATTGATTCATTTACAGTGCGTACGAACTTTTGAGACTATCGGGTCACACATCGCCAGGGTAGTACAGTAGTACCTATTATGACCGAAATCCACTTTGAAAAAGAAGACGACCACTTCGCCTTCGTGGTGATGGTATCGTCGCCGCTAGCTTTTCCAGTACTTTTTCCAGCGATTTGTTGCTCAAGCCACATCGCGACATGATATTGTTCCGCAGTCGCGGCTTCCCCGATCGCAGTCACGACGTCCAGACACGTTGACGTGGCGAATAAATATTTCACCACTTTCAAATGACCCGCCACCGCGGAACTGGTCATGGCGCGGCGTGCATAGAAAATCCCTGAGCACTTTTCTTGAATGAACTCGAGGACTTGCAAGTGTCCATTGGAAGCTGCGGCATCGAGCGCTTCCACCGTCACAATATCGGCGTTGGTGACATGTACGATCCACCGAACAAGGTCCAGACGACCTTCGCATGCAGCACTTGTCATGGTCGCCGCCGAAATAGGCACGGCTTGCAGGCTCAGGAGCTGGAAGTGGCCTGCCTTAATGATCGCATAGGCGTCTGTCCACCCCTTGCCTGGTTTTCCACGCATGAACATTGTGATTTCGAGAAAAAGACAGCCAAAGATCACCCCATGGGGCGAATAAACCGTGCGGAACATGCTTGGTAATTTGAAGAATTGTGTCCAATCGGTTACGTCGGTTTCAGGCTTTGACCTGTAGCAACTGCAGCCCCTCCACTGCAGCCCCATGTAATGGTACCAACAAGTCAGTATACCATGTCACGAAGAAGTACGAAGATAGTAGAGCTACCATTCAATGATGCACGTTCGGTTAGCTGAATCTACGCGAGATATTCGGGCTACGCAACCCAACCTCCCGGTTATACGAACTCCCATTATCCTGCAAGGTAGTTAATTTACTTAATTTCGGAGTATCAGCGTGTCGACCCACGCAAATGCTGACTTGTATTAATGCTTTGGACATCGAATAATGGGGGGGGGTGCACAACCTATCGGAAACAACATAGATAATATTATCTATTACTAGTATAGATGGATGGTTCGAATGTTCTATTTAGCCAGGGCAATGGCGTTTCGAAGATGTCGCGGGACGATTCCTGCGGGGGCGGGTTAAGCGCACGCCTCACCACGACTTGATGTCCATGACAAGAATATGGTATTTTGTTCGATACGACACGAGGCCATTCAGGAGCGCCGATGCCGAGTCAATGCAATACACGTGGTTTTCATGTAGCCGGTCGTCCCTTGCAAACAAATACTTGGCCCCGGACGACAGCAAGAGCGAGTCGGTAGGCAAGGCGTGCGCTGGTCGATTCCAATGCCACAGCGTCGTCGCCTCCAAACACATGACGTTTCACCCGCCAATGATGGCTATTCACATGTACAGCGGGCGTGTTGCCCTATGGCGACGATGCCGCTCGTGCACACGAGTTCAAAATCCATTTGGTCGATTTTGCACGTGACTCAAAGAGACTCGGAATGCATGACGGGGTCGGCGATGGAAAAGACAGCGGCCACCGCCCACACCAGCAAGCTGCTTGAGGTGGCATACACCAGAGTGGCATGCTTTGTCCAGGGCATCAGCAGATCGTTTAGAACGTACACCAGCCAAGTGATTTCCCTGGCACTGAGAATGGCCTGTGCCAGACCAAGTCGGTCACGACAAAGTGGGCGACTTGGTGGTCCCGTCGCAGCTCCACCGTCGCCGTACTCAAGAGGCAGACCGAGGTGACCCCCCGCAGCCGCAGCAGCGGCCGCCCGATCCAGACGATGCCCACCACGCAATTCAGTTCCAGCAGGTTGGAGCTTTCGATGTGGCTACAGCTCACCAAAATGTACATGATGACCAGCCCCGTGACCCCGAGCAGCGCCCCCGTCACGTACACGACGCCTGTGAGCGCGTACATGGCAAACGTGGTTGGGACTTCGTGGTAGTTGATGGCTGGGTGATGACCTGGAGCAGCGACACGTCCCCATCAAACCGCACGACTTCACGGACGTCTGTCGCCCAATCGCTCAGCACCATCCAATCAAACATGTCAAACGACGGGTCTTGCGGGTCGAATAGCGCCGTGGTAAAGAGCTCCAGGGCGCCCCGTCGTCGCGCCGGCCGTATTGGATCATCGACGGCTGCAACAGTGCCACGTCCGCAAAGGCAGCGTCGGCCAACATTTCTATACTCTGGACGTGTCTTCGTCGTGACGAATCGTTGCCTGAACGCGACGCTTTGGCCCATATACGTGTCTTGGCGGGCCCGGGGGTAGCTTCGTTGGCACAATCAAGGGCAATGTCCTCATTTGTGGCCCTTTCCAGCTTGGCGGTAGCGGCGGCAATGAGAACGGCATCTTTCATGCGTTGAAATTCCATGATCAGCGCTTGGCCACACGACCCGCCACGAGATGTCTACTCCATCAACCCCGTGTACGCTGGGTTGCTTGGGAAAAAGGCTTGATACAACAGGTTCCCCCCAAGGAGATTCCATCTCGGGTTTTCTCGGTATACTTTGAGAAATGGCATGAAGTTACTCTAGCTCGGCTTGGGGATGATGACGTAGCCAATCGCCGCCGCTTCATTCGTAGCGACCGCTCGCTGGAGTATCTCGAGCCCAGCTACAAACAGGCGCTTGGCCCTACGCGACCATCATGTCCACAGCCCCAAACGGCCCAATCGTAGCTTCAAACAGTGTGAACGCTTCGTACAGTGGCGTCCGCATCGTTCTATTACGAGCCATCACGTCCAGCATGGTCATGTTCGTAAAGGCATACGCTGGACTGGTCATCAACGCGCTCGACATCAACGACGCAACATGGATCATATCTGCGCTACAGAGCATGAGAACCACGCCCACCATCACATACACAACCCACGACGCTTCCCCCGCCACCACCATCGTGGCTAGAGTCGATCGAGGGGTGAATTGAAGCGCATTGACGGGGGCGTGCCCCTCCAGAGCCACTTGTGTCGAACTTAACATGAGCACGGCCGTAAGCCCCCGGAGGAACAAGAGGGAGCGGCCCACCCATACGCGATTGAACCGCCAAAGGTTGCGACCGACGATGCGGTGCCCATTGAGGCAAGTCACCAATATGACTGCCACTGCCACCGCGACGAGAACACTCGACACGTACACCATCATCACGTACACTATTTGGTGTCGCTTTGCGTGTCTGATGTGGTGTCGCTGCCTGTGACCAGCTGCAAGTTGCTGTATATGTCCGACATGAGCGTGAACGACGCCACGTCTCCTTCGAATCGCACGACTTCGTGTTTGTCCATTGCCCAAGCCAACAAGATGAGCCATCCTAAAACGACTAGTTTACGTCATGGGGGGTCAGCAGAAGCTGCTACAGGGTGATCTAGTCGTTGGAGGACGTGTTTTGCGCGTACTGAAAGAAATGGATGCCTGGGAGTTGCCCAACGACGTCCGCCACGACGACGGGGGACGGCAACAAGGGGCCAAGGGCGTCAACGATTGCTTTCGCCTGGATGAGCGCAGCGTCACAGCCGTCACTCGCTTGCAGGGCGCAGATGCTGTAGATATCGATAGCACCGCTGGCAAAGAGGGCAAACACCAGCGCTTGGTTGGTCGCGATGATTATAAATTGGCTTTGGGACCCGCAATTATCATAGTACGACAGCTGTTTCTGGGGAAACGACGTGGGGGCGTTGTACTAGCAGAACAAGTTGCCCCCCGCACACAGCAAGTCGTCGTCCCCACACGCAAACGCGGGGGGCAACGGAGTCACCTCCACACGCTCTAACCAATCCAACGACGTTCACACCGCCGGGTTGACCCACGCTTGGCCAAACAACGCAGTGTGAAAGTCAGTTATCAAGGCCAAGAGGGGGGCTGGGGGGGACTACGAACGCATCCACCGACCCAATGGCCCCAAATCGCGTCGAAACGCATCCACCTGGTCGACATAGTTGCCGTCGGCGTCTTGCATCCCATACGGGTCTTCGATGGGCAAACCGATCATGCCAAAGTGGTTGTCCGATCCTCGAATTAGACTCGCGTTGAAGTAGTAACATGTGTACATGTTGTTGAGGAAGTTCCAGAATAAGATCAGTGATGTCCACGTGCCATACACGACGGGCAGCGACTTGATGGCGCTTCCGAATCCCAGCGCATTCTCGACGGTTTCCGTGATTCCAACAACGAGCTGGATCTGCCACGTCAAGTCGTACCTCGTGTCTTCACTTCGCCGGCGATGGGAAGCTGCATCGCGTAGGTGGGACGGTCGTTCAACCACTGGTGCCCCGCTGGCGTCTGCGACAACGTCGCGACCACGGCGACGTCCCACCACGCCTCAGAAGTAGCCCTCCAAGACCTGCGCAACACCGCCAAAGCCGCGAGGGTGTACGCGCATTACTGTTGGCTGGACATCGACCGCCGCTGGGACATTCCGCACACCAGCAGCCGGTCTGCGCGGTGTCATGATCGGTACCGTGACAACGCGGCGGCATATATGGAAGTGCTGCTGCGCAATGTGATCTGGAGTGAGTTTCTGGCTGACGCTCGGATAAAAAAACGCGGCGGGAGTAGGCGGCGGCAAAGTCTGCCTGCATGACGCTTGTCGGGTAGTCTTTGGGCACGGCAGCGTCCGCCGAGAACAAGTCCACGAGCGGAATTGACCGGACGCCGACAATTTGGTGTTGACGACATCGATGAGAAACGTCTCGTAGCCACTGACGTTGAAGTGGAAAGTTGTTGGACGGCGTTGGGCTGAGCAGAAACATGTACCAGACTGTCCCGCACAGCGTGAGCAAAAGGTATGCGACGCCGCCGTAGAGTTCGGCGCGCTCTTGGGTGGTCACGGGGGTTGCCAGTCCCGTGGCGACCATCACGCGGTTTTTGGGGCTAGAAGTGGGGGCGATCATGCAGCTCAAGTGCAGTCAATTGACAAGTGACCACTCGACGTGAAACTGAGGGGGCTTGACAGTTACAAACATGGCGTAACCGCCGTGGGCGTTTAAAAAACGGGCAAATATTATGGTGAATTTCCCAAATCTGCCCCGTTCGCTGAACCTCGCTCGTCTTTTGATTATCTAGTTACCAAATAATTCGTACAAAGTATAAGTTCAATAGAAAGAATAGTGTAACCCATCAACAAAGATTAGGTTCAAATCAACCAATCAATTGTCGCGGTGAGGTTCAGAGCGCGGTAAGTAGTGCGAGATTCGATTGCGCGGGATTTGGAAATTCGTACCGAATCTACTATACAGCTTGTTACTTTGCACGTGACGACATCACAGTGTCACAAGCGTCCAACGTCAACGGGGCACAATACCTCCCTTCCTCCACTCTACCGGGTACTTTTATCCTGCTAGAATACCATAATCTCTCTACGCCTAGGAAAGTGAGGCATACAGTATGTATTATTAGTATCATTAAGTGACGTAACCGAGAACGGTTTCAGACAATCTACTGAATCCTTACATTTTGGAGGTTTGAAACGTTAACTTACTGTAATTGGAGGAGGTGTTCCACTGAAGTCATCAAACCTAGATAGGAATCGTTCGACTGTAGTCAAAGCACTCAGTTTGCATTCATTTCGAATACCATTTAGAGTAGCGATACAGTAATAAAAATGCCAAATTGTAACCAAGTGCTTGGTTCATTGGCCTTTAGGTGACCGTCCGCCAGTTTAATGGCCAGCAAAGTTGAAATGCTAAGGGCAACACACAACTAAATTTGTGGCTGAAACAAATCCACACACAGGGGGGGCGCCTCAAGAGCGAGTGTCCGCCTGTGGTTCGACACCGCCGGTCGAATAGATCGTAAATTGTGCATGTGTGTTTATAGTTACGGAAATCCCGTACGACATTATTGCCTCAAGGGGGGTTATTCTGACACCGTTTCATATGCAAATGCATCTCATGCATGCAACTTAGCGGGGAACGCATTGACTGTACCAGGCATTCTTGACTTGGCATTGATCTGACGACTTGCATGTCGTGGCTCCAGTGTAGCCTTGACCTCCGCATTTGCCCCATGAATCTACGACGCCGCCACCGCTCGATGTACGCTCGATGCATTGGCTGTACCATTCGCTCTTGAAAGCACACATGTAGCCTTCGGTGCATGGAGTGGGGCCTTTGAATCGCTTGCCACCACACTGTTGCAAGGGCTGCGCTTCGCTACCACCATTCGACGATCGATATTGAGGGGCTAGGGTCATCGAAGTTGGCTCTGAACTGGAGGGATTGTAAGCGCTGGGGGGCGATGGTGGTGCTATCGAAGATTGTACCACGGGGGGAGTATAAGCGCTGGGGGGTTTGTACGGGCTAGGGGGCGAAACCACACCTCCCCCGCCGACCAACGGAACACAGTTCTTGTACACTTGCCACGACGACGTATGCATGGCCAACCACAGGAAAAAGAGTCGTTTGGATCCGTTGCAAGTTGCCACGTTGATAGGCATGCCACCGTCAGGGATGTTTCGGGCGCAGTTTTCATTCGAATATACCCTTCGCCCCCATGTCCCCACTTCACGACGCCGTCCGCTGGTAAAGGCTGCGGTGCACCGTCGCTACGGGTAATGCCACATTCGCCGCAGGTGTTTGCTTGGGAATCCACCAGAGCCTTGAGGGATGAGTACGACGACTTTTGAAATTGATGGGTGAACGCAAACACATTGTTCTGGGGGGAATCGTCGCATTTGTCCCCTGGCAGCGCCTTGTAGCCGTCAATCGTACCGCAATAGTTGGTCAGGTCAGCCACGCCATCAGCATCGTGGGCTTGGGGTCCAACAACACACCATGGCCATGACTCCAGGGGACAGACGCAACGAGAATGACGAGGAAAGTTGAAAGAGTTGTTTGCACCATCATCGCAAGAAAATTCGAATTATGGGTGTAGCAAAGCTGCAATGTCGCATCTGTAAAAGGGCTGTGTACGATACTACGACTACACGGCGAAGAATACATGACATTGGCCATTTATGAGGCTATCGACGATGGTTTTGACCTTTGTTCTTGGCATGTAGAAACTACCTAAGCTGAATACACGAGAAGAGGCATGTTGTCGTTCAGTGAATCGCACACTGGCTGCATATTCTTTTATATAGGAGTTGCAGATGTTGTATCCAGCCCGTCGCATGTGCAACCACTGACTGCTGTGTTTGTCAATGTCTTACTTCAAAGTATTAACGGTTATAATAGCAGTTTCGTACTCAACTCGACGGGCGATAACGCACTGCAGAACATTCCTTGGAAGGCTAAAACTTCCACTGGTGATCACAAGAGGCTACTCGTATTAATATCGACGGACAAAAATCTCTGCGGGTACATAACAGCGTGCGACCATGCGATTGTTGTTCATTCGTGTAGTGTCTGGGATATCGGGCTTTGTTGCCTTTCTAATCCCGATGAACCAACATCGCAAGTTATTCATTTTCCAATTTGAAGCATGCGAGTCACTCCCTCGATCCCCGCGATTTCACTTGTGATGGCTATCGCATTGGTGTCACCAGCGCTTGGCTCACACATTTGCGCCGCTCTGCCGCCCTACTCGCTGACTAACGCCGTGCAGCAGCACCCTGAACTCCAACAAGCGTACGACACCGTCAAGGCGAACGCAGTAGCGACTTGGTACACTGATCGAGGCTGGCCCAGTCAAATCCCAGACCTCCTTGCACAGTGCCAAGGCGACATTCCGTCCATTGTCATCTACGGTTTGCCAGACAAAGATTGTGGCGACGGAGGGTTTTCCCAAAGCGGTGACAACAAAAACGCCGACATGTACCGCACGTGGATTCAAACTTTGGTCGGTCAAGTGGGCCAACGCCAAGTCATTTACGTGCTGGAGCCCGATGCAGTGGGGCTGGTCGCTGCCGGGGGATGTGGGGTCCAGAAGGGGTACTTGCAGAACTTGAAGGTGGCGGTGGGGCTACTCGCGTCAAATGCAAATGCGCACATTTACGTGGACGTGGCATCCTGGGCCGACCAAAATCAAGCTGTGAATGTCCTCGTTGAGCTCAAAACCGCTGGAAGGCTCAAACGGAATCGCCATCAACACTGCCAACTACCGCCCTACCAGCGAGTTAAACGACTTGTGCCAATCGTACTCGACGGCGACGGGTGGGTTGCATTGTGTCTTGGACGTGTCGCGCAATTTCAACGGCTCGCCCCAGAACGAATGGTGCAATGCTCGGTCGGCGGGGATGGGGTCGCCCCCCACAGACGCTACCAACCATCCTTTGGTGGACTATCATTTGTGGATCAAAGTACCAGGGGAAAGCGATGGCGAGTGCACAGGGCGAAGTTCCGATGCTATGGTCGGACCCGCGGCCGGTCAGTTCTTTTTTGATGGCTTCAAGTCATTGTGGAACCAAGGCTACTACGTCGTGACTATGGGTCTCCCGAAGATTAGGGAAGGCGGAGTTTCGAAAAGTTACACTGCGCCATCTAGCTCGACGAGCCCCTCGCATCCGTCGAAGGACTCCCCCGAACCAACGTATGAGGGCGTTAAACTCTATGCCCAGTGCGGAGGCTTACGTTACACCGGGGCTACGAAATGCAAGCAAGGGCTGGACTGCCATCGGTGGAATGAATGGTACTCTCAGTGTATCTCCCCCGATGTTGGACGAATCCCTGCCAAAACCAGTGTCGTGACATCTCCTGAGTCTACGAATTTCACGGACCCTCCCATCACGCTCCATCAAGTTCCAGCGTGGCATCCATGTGGAGGCGTTAACTACACTAGCCCCACAGAATGCCTCGATGGCTATGAATGCAAGTCAACCGACGACGATCTGAGCCAATGCGTTGAGCAAGTTGTGGCGGCGGATCAACGCATCGCAGCGTGGCAGCAGTGCGGTGGGGTGGATTACTACGGTTCATCTACTTGCGTTAGCGGCTTTGTGTGCAAGCCAACGGACGACAACTATAGCCAGTGTGTGGCGATAGCTACGCCCACGTCTGTAGCCAAGAATCCTGCCAGTCATAGGCAAAGTGAACTTCGAGTACCAGCGTGAAAGCAATGTGGGGGAAAGGAATACGTTGGGTCAAACCAGTGTATGGATGGATTTGTATGCAAAGAAACTGACGTCGACTTTAGTCAATGCGCAAGAGTATAATCAAGTCGTTTTGTATGGTTACGATGAGTGCGTCGTGATGTTGTATCCACCATGAAGACATTTCATGGATCCTTCTTATGGACAGGGAGATGTAGGAAATGAACGAAAACTCGCAATTATCTCGCATGTCGACTAAGTCTGTCCTTCATGCAACATGCTAACGTTAACGTTACTTCAAAATGTTCACTTCATGTGAACACGAGGATGTTGGGATGCAAGTACTGTACACTTACATGTGGAAATTGACATGTATACATGCTGCGCTCGCACATGAGCGCAGGTGCGGAAAGTCCAAGCGCAGGTGGTCAAATTCTCGGGAGCGACGCATGGAGGTGAGCTGAAACTGTGAGATCATGTACTTCTCATGTGTAGGAAGATAGTGCATGCAAGCATTCTAACCTACTGTACGTGGAGTACAGAGGACGCAAATGACGACGAATTTGTAGGTTTTTTCGCGCACATGCGTGCACATGCGCATGAGATGCCGCTATGTATAGTTACGAGATCATTATATTTTTCTAAAGTGTTAAACTTGATCTCCATACAAAAATGAGTGTGCCCCCCGTCGTACTTTCCCCAGGTTCTCTGTAGCTGCCATGGTGCAGATTGTGATGTGCACATGCGCCGTGTAATAGTCTACAAGTGGTATGCGTCCCATCCCTCGTCGTTATTCCTAGCCTATGTATTCACCCACCAAAGTTCCGCATTTTGCTCATATCGAATTTTTCTCGCACATGTGCACATGCGGGATGAAACGTTTTTTTCTGATATAGAACAGGTAGCGAACGGATAGTAAAATTCTATAAATATAGGTAAATAAAATGTATGGCTCAGGAATTAAATTTCACATCCTATCCGACAGCTGGCAGGCAAATACCCGGTTTAACCCTGCAGTTTGTCAAACGAGCATGGGAAAAAGCGACGAATCGAGTCAGCAAATCATCACGGCAATAATGTCCGTTTACATGTTTACGGTTAGTGGATCGCAATGTCAAATGTTCCTGCATCTCCCGGAAACTAGCGCGTCGTGAGTGTTAGCTTTCTTCGAACCCACCTTCTTACAGGAAAAGTCGTCGGTGTAAAATAAATACCGCGATCATAGACAACCCTCGACTCTGTCGTTCAGATTTGATTTTGCGATCATGGTGCACCTCACTCCCCTCGTCCTTGTCTTCACGTTGGCTGGCTCCGTTCACAGCCACGGCGCCCTTCTCGACCCGCTGCCAACATGGAACACCCCCTACAGCGACACGAGTCAATTCTGTGGCACGATGGAAGGGCCGTCCGTGCTTCCCGGGGCTGCGTACAATACGAGCCCCCAAGACAACGCTGCAGCCTTTACTCGACAATTCCAAGCATCGTCGTTCAAGACCCTTCGCGACCTCGTGCTCGCTAACCCCAGTACGTGTGGCTCGTGTGGCATTACCAACCCCAACGGCACCCCCCGCCAAATCAACGCCGACGGCACCGTGAAGTGGGCACATGGCTCGGAAGGATTCATTTCGTCCCACGAAGGCCCGTGCGAAGTGTGGTGCGATACAGATCGCGTGTTTCAAAACGACAATTGTGCTCGCAACGCCGCAAATGGAATTGTGAAGATCGACGTGGCCAAATGCAAGCGAGCGATCCACTTGGTCGTGTATTGGCTTGCCCTTCATGTCCCCACCTGGCAGATTTACTTGAATTGTGTCCGCCTCGCGGGCGATGGAGGAGCAGCAGCTCCAACCCCTAGCAACCCCCAATCTGCACAGCCTAGCTATCCGTCGGCCCCACCGAGTTACCCAACTGCCGCACCAGGGCAAGGACCACCTTCTACCGCCCCCGAATACACGTACTATGTTGAACCAGGGTATGAATCATACTCCCCTTCTCCCCTAAACCCGTCGGCCCCCTATACCCCCCCGGCCTCGATGGCGCCTCCTTCAAACCCATCGCCCCCATATGCCCCCCCTCCCTCGATGGCGCCTCCTTCACCATCGACTAGCAGTCCTCCCTTGGCTCCGCCGACAAACAGTGCCGTCGCCGCCTGGGGTCAATGCGGGGGTCAACAATACAAAGGACCTACCCAATGCGTTACCGGCCAAGAGTGCCGCAAGTGGGCAGACGCGTACAGTCAGTGTGTACCCCAAGACAACCCATCGGGCGACTTGAAGACGTGGGCTCAATGCGGCGGCAAGGCGTACAGCGGACCGACCAAGTGCAAGTCCTCGGACACGTGTATGTCGAAAAATGACTTCTACAGCCAATGCATCCCAAAGTAGAAAAACTCTGGTCGAGGCAAGATGACGTTTGTAGGAACCACACTGTAGCCGCAATGTAGCGAGCCCCAGGATACCATGCATCATCTTTAAATAGTAAACGACGACGTGAAACTAACGGTACTTGTACAGAGTGCACTTTAGAACGGCAGTATATTGTGGGCGACTTGCCCAATGTAGCAGTTCCTTTCTCGACGTACTGTCCGTGGAGTATCTATCATTTCTTTCTGGACACACTGACCTTGAAGTATCTTCTTCGAAGTATATGGACGACACACACAGTACCTTTGAAACACGACTCTACGTTCATTCATGTGATGATGTGATTTCGACTCAAAGTTATATTTGTGTGGATGTGGTGGAAGGTGTACAATGGTGGGATTTACTTTAGAATTGGGCGGAAGTGCTGAGGGTAGGAAAGGGTACAGTAGGTATGGTTAGCACTAGGGGCGCACAGTGTCGGACGTACAGTAGGACAGGTCACTCCAACACAAGGTAGGAAAACCAAAAGTGAGATTATTTAGGAGAACAAACTACTCCGAGTGTACTACGTTGTAGGTACATACATATGTAGGTACTGTAGTACTTCACTGTCAGGCAGAAAACCGGGCAAGAGGAGAATACTGATTGGCGGCGAGTTGGTTTTCCTACTGATTGGGTTGGCAATCCCTGACGCTAGAGACACATGTCTCAGACTCGGCAGTACTGACATAGCACTGGGCACGTACAACCTTTTCGCCGTCGCAAAGGAACGTGCTGGCCAATCATAGCCAGCTTTGTTTCGGTATATCGCTCGTCCATCCAAAATAAAGTCCAGTCTCACGGCTCTACATGAGGTAGCATTTCACTTCCAAGTTCATCGTATATTCTAGCCTGCATTCTACTTGGATTCGGCATTGCATCTTTGAAATGCCAAGCGCTCACAATTCAATATTCACTCGACCATGCATTCCACTACTACCTACCTCTCGGTGACGCTGTTGGCAGCCCTCATGCCCACTGCTACTTTGGCTCATGGCT